CCCCCCCCCCCCCTCTAGACTTTCTAGTCCAATATCAGACGATATGGTGTTCACAGAATGAACAAACCAAACCAGAAGTCACGCACAAGCTGACAAGGATCATTTAGAACGGTCAGGATCGCAAGATGAAGCAGGCTAACAAACATTATTGCCAACTAAAGGACCTGTTGCAGCTTTGTTTTATTTTGTCTTTTACTGTGTGGCAGTTAGTTTTCCAGTCGACTGTTTTCCTTGCGGACCCTTCACCTTCTCAGCATCGTTCTTTTTTTTTCTCTGCTGCGCGCCATGACCCGCAACAGTTGCAGTCTGCGAACCCTGTTGAACTTTTGTGAGAAAATAATGCCGGCAGTTTCGATTCTGAGTCTATACGCTACCGTCTTCCCCCGAACACAACGCACCCTGATCATGAACGTATACAAGCTATCTTTCCGGTCCGGTACAGGCAAAATGAGGGTGCGTTGTGTTCGGGGAAAGACGGTGGTAGTCTTTTCTGAATATGTTTGTGAACAACCTATCTTGTATGTATGCCGTGTGCCTTTATGGGTTTTGAGTGTGTGTATGTGTGTGTATGTGTGTGTGTGTGTGTGTGTGTGTGTCCGTGCGGGTCTCAGTTCGGTGGACCAAGATGGTCCGATGGACAGTCGGCCGGGGGTCAGAAGTCGCCATCAGTTGTATGCGTCATGTTGTGAAGTAGGTGTGTAATGTGTGAATGGAGTAATCAGCATCCAATTTGGAGTAATCAGCATCCAATTTGCTTGGCAGTTGTGCTGGTCGGTACGGAAAAGTCGACCACGCGTCCGACGAAGTAGAGTTGTCATGTGCGCCGTAATGCTGGGCATGCATCTCGGAGACTTTTCTGGAAGGCAAAAGCCAAAGAAGAAACGAAGAGCCACGTGTCAGAATCACTTTGTGACCAGTGCGACAAACTCTCTCGATCGATCGATCGATCGATCGATATACGGACGTGTCTCCTCCCACCCTACCCCTGTCCTCCATCCGTCCTCCCTCCACCCGACCTCTAGACCTCCTCCCGACTTCCGCCCAACCTATTCCCACGTTCCACCCCGCCTCCTTGTTCAGTCCGCTATGCCTCCTCTGCGCCGATCCTCCTAGCCAGCCCTCCTCCCCCCGTGCACCGATCCTCCTTGGTCTTCCGCATGCTCTTCCTCCTCCTCAGACTCATCCTCGCCCCCCCCCCCCCCCCCCCCCCCCCCCCCCCCCCCCCCCCCCCACGATTTTTCAGGACCTCAATGGCAAAACAACCCTAAGTGCACGCACAGGGTAGACCCCCTCCCCCACGGGTGATGCAAACCACATGGCCAACATGATCCGCATCATGAAAGAGCGATGGGGTCCCATTTCCTTTCGTGCCCCTCATCACAGCGTGGGGGGTCACAAAAGGATATTCGATCGTTGCGAAAGGCAGCAACGAATGTACAGTCGTCATCAATGCTAAGCCCACGGGACAAGACAGGTTCGCTCAAAGCTCAAGCCTTTCTGCGAGAGGAGCACGAGAAAGGTGAGCGAAATAGAAATAATAATAATGACTGGAAGCATTACCCTCTGCTATTACGTATTTTTATTACCTTGAGGCCAAGTCCTTTGATATGAGTGTGTGTGGCCACTCGCTGAGTCTTTGTCGTCGACTGGACTTCTTCGATCCGCATTTTGATGAACCACGGGTGCTCTTCTTTATAAGCGGCCCTGAAAAAAATGAAACAAAGCAAAAGATCACACGTTGCGTTCCAGGAAACATAAGAACTTCATCACGAACGAAAGGTGAGAGATTCGACCAGGACATAATGACGGACAACAAAAAAACACAAGGACAAAGTAGAGAGAACTCTCGCAATCAAAAAAACAAGGACAAAGTAGAGAGAACTCTTGCAATCAAGAGAGGGAGAGGGGAGGAAGGAATCGAGGGAGGAAAGGAGGTTGGCGGGAAGGACTTGGCTTTTCCGCTTTTTGGAATCAACAAAAAACAGACCATTTCGCTTTGACCTGCACATCATGCACACCACCCACCGATAACTCTCAACTTGGAGAAAAACTCCCAAGAGACGAAAAAAGTGCAACAACACAACACACACAATTACCAACATACACAAAACGTCACCGAAAACCCCTCGACAAGCTAGAAAGAGACATTAACACTTGGGCCACGGCCCCTCAAACATCTGGCAGATACACTACTGAGGCCCCACCCAGCCAGTGTCTATCTAGATTCATCCCAGCGCCTTCCGGTTGATTTACAGTGTTACGGCAGGAATTCAGTGATTGATTAC